GGTAATTTTTTTGAGACGAAAATTCTAATACGAAAATGTCGAGGCTACAATAATTTTTTGAATTATAACTTTAAATGCTTATAAGTAAAAAACTATTTTACTTTTAGAGTCTCTATTATTATTTCTGGATTCTTTTGAACATTCTAAAACGAAAATATTGAGGTTATAATAATTTTCGAATTACACACTTATTTTTAATCAATTATAATTCAAAAACTGTTGTAGTTTTGACACTTTTGTATTAGGATTTTCTCAACATTATCTCAAGAAAATGTTCTTAAGAGAAAATTCGGTAGTTGTGAGACATTCTGTATGTATATTCTATTTTATATATATAGCATGGAATTATTAGTACTTTATATACATATCTCTTACTACAGAAGAATATTCATAGTATTATAAAGAGAATTGTCAAGAGACAACTTTTATTTTCGTTTTGACAACTAATCGCGTTTATTTTTACTTCTATTTTGTAACTAGGTCATGATGTAATAGTAACCTCCGATAATAAAAAATATATTCGTCCTTTATGCCAAAAAGTTGTGCTATAACTTATCCTCAATTTGCTAATGTTCGATTAATTCTTCGCAATCTTGACTATGCTCCAGTTCATATATTTTTAATGTACTATAGGCTGCATTTAGCAGAAAAAAAACAACTTTGCAATCCTTGTAAAATTTTTTAATACAATTGATTTATACATTTAGATCTGACAAGAAATTAAGGATAAGACTAATCATGTTAAAGAATTTTACGATAGTTAGTTATAGTTAGATACAAAGCTGCTTTTTCACCTTGAACGCAGTCATTTACTCACATGATCACATTCATATGAATTTTCTAATTTCACACAGACTATATCGGAATCGTTTTCCATAAACGTCGACCTCCTCGCGCTCATGTGATCCGCACGAGTCGCGCAAACCAGTGCCGTGAAGTTGTCTCCAACCGCGTTTACCGCACCTTCCTTCGTGTGATTCTCGCTCTTCCTCCTTTTTTTTTCTTTCTTATTCTTCGAAGGCGATACTCGTCTTACTCGAAG